TTTAGTCAAAAAGACGTATGCTTGAGACCCACGTCTACTGCACTCAATTATTAGTGTCGTCTTACTGGGCTGAAGTAAGTAGTAATATTTAATGGATTATATACTGGCGCAAGCCGAATTACACATGAGTGGCTCTGAAGGAAATTTCCCTTTGCTGTGTTTTATATTATATATATATATATATAATTTATAAATTTGACCGGAAAATACTGTTTTGGCGATATTTGCTTGTGCCATCTGCCTTTCGGAGAGAGGTTGGCGACATCTGGCCAAACACGATAGCGGCAAAACTCCAAAAGCACATGAACATGCCGCCGCCAAGTTTTTCGGTTAAGCAAGCGCTGCAGACAAGGGTTGCGCTACTATACCAACCACATGATATTTTATTAGAAACCGCACATTTGACGGATGCCGACGAACCAACCCTCGATGAAACATATTTTTCCGACACGTTCGGTTTGGCCGTCAAGGGTAGGTAGAACATGTTGTAAGCCTTTGGGGTTTTCGGGTGAACCGCCGCAAACGAATTATGAATACAACTGGCAAAGTGTTAAAAAACATACTTAGTTTTTAAACAATACAATATTCGGATGTTTGCATGTGGTCTGTTTTTTTGACGTTTTAGACCAAAACCAAAAAGCCAGACAAAATTTCGACTACTTAGGATGGTCCGATTGCAATTCTGTATTTATATATTAAGTAATTTTTCTACTTTACTAGGCTATGTAGGAAACAGATTTTTGCTTTTTTAATGGAAGAAAAAATTGTGTTTTAATATCGGAAAAAAAATGCAAATTTAATTTATTTGATTGCAAGAATCTTAAATGTTTAAATATAAAGTCACGACTTAAACAATAATAATCGTATTAAAAAAAAAATGGGAACTTTCTCAATTTATATTTTAACTCTGTCATTTTATTTCTTTTTTAAGTGCTTGTATTTAAGGTAAAATTTAAGTCTTCTAAAAAAACCGACGAGAGAATCTAGTTGAAGCTCTTCTCTTTATTTAAAGATATCAAAAAAAAAATGTCTATGACCATTTTGCTTTGAACTACACGCTCATGTCCTCTTAAATCATATATTTAGACTTTATTCTCCCATAAGTCGTTGCAACCGAGTGGATTCGGTTAACACTTGTCAAGTGCGTAGCAATAGACACACACAATAAATCTACCGGGAATATAATATAAAAATTGCAGTTTCGGTTCACTCGTTAGCAAACTGCACGCGTTAGGTACGACGACCGAGAGGTTCGGTTGCTTTTTATTATATATGATAAAAATATATATTATAATATCTATATTTCATATGGACTCCCGCCTTTGAGAAAATATGGCCGGTATACAGATACAACTGATCGTAAAAAAAAAATAGAAAACAAACAATATCGTTGCCCTTAACCGAAACTCTTGCGGTTTGAAAGTCATAAAACCACACGGTCCATTCATTACACGCCCAACAGACACACACATACATTGGCAAGAAAACTTGACCAAAACTGTTTTTTTTCCCCGACCCGGCTTTGCGCTCTGTATATATATATATATATATATATATATATATCTATGTGTGTTGTTCACTCCCCTTGGAAAATGGAAATCGACACCGTCATATATAAGATAATTTATGTGCCGTTTCCTGTTCGCGAGAGAGAAGTTATACGGCCGGTAAAGTCTCTTGGCTGTAATAAAAAATGGCCCAAAAGTCAAAACGCACCGCGCTTAAGCTCGGGGCCACCCGAAACTGTATTTTTTTCAGTACATATATTTCACTGTTGCTGGCGCGAAAAAGTAAAAAAATATATATATATATTATCCGACACACACGTGGCAGCATAATGCGCCCCTTAGACTCTTCTATGATGTACAATGTACTAGGAATGACGTTTAATGGACGGTACGGTAATCCTTTGAGGATTTTCCGTACTTACACACAAGTCACAACATAATATAATATTGTATTGTCTTTTAACGCGAGCGCCTAAAGATTTCAAATAGAAAAAAAAATTACAGCCAGGACAAAAACGCTTATGCTAGGAGTGTGGTGCCCGAGAGCTTATTTTTTTTAACTAACCCTAACGACTTGACATTACAATATGTCGAAAGTAGGTACAAAGGTGTATACGCTGTAGTGTAACCACTACTACTATGAGCGGCTATAAAGACAACTATAAAAACAAAGGGGGAGCTGCTATTTTGCCGGCTGACTAGTGATATGGGAGCACGGAACAGGTGCCGTGGCAAAATATTGTTTGTGCATTTCGGTCGACTGCAAAGGCTAATGCGACCCTTCGGGCGAATCGCTCTCAGTTTATTCAGCTATGAACTAAAGAGATAATATTGTACATATAACGACAATATGGTTTTCATCAGAGTTAAAAAACAAAACATATCATTAATCGAGATACAAAAAATATAAATATATCTAGTTACAAACCGAGTTAGTAGTACTGTAGTACATAATATCTTTAACTAGTATACTACTTCTATATTTCCGTATACATGCTCAATACACATCAATAGCTGGTGCCCAAGTGTAGTATGATTGTGTAACACAAATTAGAAGAACTCGAGTCAAAAAAAAAAAATGAAAATGTACTAGATAATACTTTAACCTCTAATACCTTTATATTATAATAGCTAATACTTTAGTAGGTATTAACTATTCAGTTCAATCTAAAAAAGTTTCTCTTAAATTATTACTGCTGACTTATTTTCAATATTTTTAACCTTTTTCCCGTACAGGGTGATTGGTTAACCCTATGACCCGGTCAATATCTTAACAAATATTAGACTTTTTTAAAATTACTCTTTTTCATTTTTTTTTATTGTTTTTGTATTAGTTAGCCAATATTTGATACATTTTCAAAACTTTACAATAACAAGAAGAGTTATCTAAATGACGAATAGATTAATTTTTAATAATATATTTAAACAAATGTAAGACTCGGAGGGGGAGGGGCTGATACATCACCCTGATCACCCCCTTTGAATACGCCACTGGTGTATACATTTTGGGTCAACTATTAACTATAAAAGTGTAAAAAAATAATAATTTAAAAATGTCCAATTCCTTTTAGGATGTCTTGTAAGATATTGACTGGGTCGTGGTCGGATCATGGTTAACCCTGTAACACTCTGTACATAATACATACTTAACTCTGCGAATATATTGTATAAAAACAAGTATCTGCGTTTATAGAATTTTATATTACACCGTTACTAAGTAGAGGTTGTGGCACATTTATAGAGACAATAATATGAACTAGGCAAATTTAACCAAATTAATATTTTGTTTGTACAGCTGTGTCTAACGGGGATTTCGTACAATTACTGCAAAAAAACATATTTGTTGGGCAGAGAAAATGTAGAATTTTATTTTTTAACGGTTACTTTATTTATAAATTTTTACTTAGAATTTTTTTTTTTAATCCCGTTTTAATAGTCGTATTGAACTGCTGGTTTCGTTTTGCATTTTGTCGGTTGTACACAACGCCAACAAAGGTCGTGTGCCCGTTGGCATAATGTTACTTTCCGTTCTCTCAGCATTGTAAAGTAACGCCACAAGCACCATATCCATACAGTTTCCAGTAGAATGAGGCCTGTGAATATTGTAATGTTGGTTTTTTTACCATAAAAATGGATATCCTGGATTTATTGTGTAAAAATTAAAAATAATAGCTGATAAATCTTACAGAAAAAATGCAGCGCCGATTCGTGTCTAAACAAATAAAATAGATCAGTCAACATATGGAATACATTAACCAAAAAATCAAATATGTATAATAAAATATCACTTTTCGATCACGGCCGAGCTGGTGTCGGTCCAATGTAAACCGTATCCTATTGTCAAGAAGGATGTGCACATTAATATCAATCCGTCGTGTTCCTTAAGAAGAGAAAATCGTTGTTACGGACAATACAAACACACCTAACTATGCGCTGTTGCAATAATTGGCAATATCAATTATTATTGTCTTATTACCAGCAGTATGGACCATACCAGCAACATGTTAATGGCCGTGTTGATCTGTGTAAAGGGATATCCGAAATTCGGGCAAAACTGCGGAAATTGCAATAATCAGAACGGCACAAGTCAGTCTCTAATGATGTGAAACACAGCCAAAAATTGCCTGGGATTTTATTTTCAACTTACCGAGCCGAATATGGAAAACAGCAAGGTGGATAGTTTGAAAAACGCTAGTCCCGGACTTCTGAATGTGTTTCTTGTATTTGTCATGGTGGTTTTCTTTTTTGGTTTTGAGTTAGTTATTGGTACGTTTTCACTGGAAATTTTCAAAAAAATCTACTACAATCGGATCGGAAAAACCATGGCGATGGCATTGACATTAAAAAAAAAAATAGTTTATCACACGTGTAAGTACAATTATTTAACATAGCCAGCAAAAAAAAAAACAACAATAATTAGTATTGCCTCCTTAAAAAAAAGGTTCTACTAAACCTTTCCAAATAAAAATATTTTAACTAAAAATAATTGTAGTACAAATAGCTGTCTGTATAGAAATGTATTCTTCGTTTCGCTCTTCTTTCTTCACCGAACAATTACAATAATGTACATTTAATAATCACTTCTTTCCAGTACAAATGTGAAAAAATGATCTATAAATGATAACGCATCACTTTAGTAAGATCATCAGAGTATTCAAAATTAAAAAGTAATTTCTGCTAATAAATGTCCTAAACTTGTTTTCATTTTTGAGGTAGCTTAAAATATAAAGGTTATATTGTACCTTTAAAATTGCACTTTAAATTTGGTTTCAGAAAACATTAACATTTTTCGTAATAACTTTGTTCGTCGTAGTAGATTATTTAAGAAGAAAAAAATAATTACATACTTTTATATTAGGTCTATCAGTGAGTATTATTATACACCACCAAATAAATTAAAAAAACAAATTTTTGTATAATATATAAATAATTATAAATTAAGTTTATTTAATTAAAAAACATTAAAATTACAATAATAATAATTAATATGATTCGACAAAAAACAAGTGCTAACAATGCGTTTTACTAAGAATTAGTGTACGTATACATAAAACTATAAACAAAACGTATGTATGTATTCAATGATAATAAAATATAATACGTATAAGTATGTATCTTGGACGTAACTCAAGTAAAATATTGTGTACTTATAGGCTGAATATAAAGTGGGTCCATTAAAAAGCTAGTAATAATAAAACAACCGTATGGGTACAAATTTAACGGTGAAGACTCATCAATAATAATGAAATATAATAATAAAAAGTTGAAGATTGAAAAACATAATAATATATCGGTTCGATTTTTTTCAAATGATTTGCCATTGAAGTACGCTCGTGTCTTTGCCTCCAATCGATATCAGTCGGGAATCGTCGTGCAAGAAGCCGACGTTGGTCACGTGACTGCTGTGACCTCCATACGTATGGCAAAGTGACTAGAACAGAAAAAAATACAATCACGTTACGTCAGTCGTCTCAAACACGGTGAAGTACGCAAAATCAAGCAATTATTAACCTTTGGTTGCTTGACGGGATATCCGTAGAGTTTCACTTTTCCAAAGTCGTCGCCGGTGGCCATTATTTTAGATCCGTTGGACCGCTCGCAAGCGTTAACATCGGTACCGTCAGCGCCTTCCGGCCAAATGCCGATGGTTGTAAACGACAGAACGCACGAGTTTGATGCCCAAGCAACGTCCCTGAGTTGTGTACTCTGAGGCACTTGGCGGCAGACTTTGGTTTTCCCTGTGGAAAAGTTGTAAAAATTAAATTAGTAGAAAGAATTTTTGTTTTATAATAATTGTTCACGCATTTTTGATAGGAGACAAAATATATTATTGTGTACTCACAATATAGTAATTCGTAGTCTCCGGAATTGCTGCGAAGGTATTCGTTGTCAGCAGACCAATCCAAATGAGTTATAAAGCTCGAGTGTCCCTGGATAAAAATAAAAAAACAAACTTTTAAGTACAAGATTATTATTATTTATTGTGTTGGAATAATTTAAGGAAAAAAATGAGATGATTAAGCAAAAAAAATTAAAGATTTCAGTGATAAAAACTACATAAGAAAGCAAGGGAAAATAATAAAATCCATTAAAATATGTTAGCTTGTTAAAAATAAGCATATGAAGGGAACAGAAAAAGCCGAAAAATGTGTACAAATAAAGACTAAAATTCACAGCCACTGTCCAAGGCATCTACCAACACCAATTAGAAAAAAAAAATGTTGTTATTAAGCTTAACATCTGGAAGTTTAAATGCGTTTTTTTTAATTTGTGTTATAACAAAAAGTAAAATTTAAATAATTTTTACATTTTTTTTTTTCAAGTTTTTCTAATATGTTCCAACCTCCACAGAAAAAGTAGTAAGCTTTCTATATAAAAAAAACTTAAACTGGTCCAATAGCTAGTTATACAAAAAAGCTACTAGAGTAAAATCAAAACTGTTTAGCAAACTTACACCCTATCTCAAAGAAAAATAACTATAAAAATTATGTAATTAGAAAAACTTAAATTTTTATCCACCCTTAAGTTATAAGTTGGCGTAGTTAAAATCGCTCATAGATCAAGCCTTAACGTTCTCCTTTATGATAATAACAATCAGCTAAGGCTTACAAAATGTATTGCAAAAAATAATCGATAACAGTTAAATTATAGTTTAAAAAAAAAAAAAAAAACAATCAAAATAAAGTATAAAGAAAAATTATTTAAGTCATACCTGAGCGCAGTGAGCATACAAAATAAAAACATAATACACTGTGCATAATTATTATATTTGCGAACAAATAATTGTGCATTCGTTTAAGACAAATCAAATTTCTTTAGCAAAAGTCAAAAAGTAATAAAAACACAAAAAAAATATATTGTTTTTTCATGGCAATCTCGACACAAGAAACAATCCAGATTTCCATGCCTACACCTACCGACGAACTGTCAATAATAGCGCCTGTGCTACACCTCCGGCGACGATTGTATTCCCAACACTACAAATTGCGTAAATTCAACAGAAACAATAGGTATTTTTATATAAGTGAAGCGACACGGGTTTTATCGTTACACCAAAAAATATTAATGGGTTAGTCATCAACAAGGGTGTTATAATATCGGGTTAGGTTGGGTAGATTATTAGAGAATATTTAACGCTTACAGTGCAACGGCCTAAACGGGTGTAATGATGAGCGCCATCGGTGACTTGATACAAATAAATAAAGTTGTCTCGGGATCCTAGAGCCAGCAACGATCCGTCCGGTGAAAACTTAACCACCTACAACACAAAATACAACACGTTACAACTAGCTTCTCAATTTTAGTGTTTTACTACAATGTGAACTTACTTGTATTGGTTCATTTCCGTCGACGTGAGTCGAATAAATTTCTCGAGTCTCTGAATCCATTACCAGCCATTTGCCCGACACGCAACCAACTATGATGATCTGGCCGTCAGTTGAAAAAGCGGCCGACTGAGCTTGTTCCTATTAAGATCAAAACAGATGTATGAGTATTCAGTCTGTCACTCGTTTATTAAAATTAGTTAAGCACTTACATCAATGTCTTTGCTCCAAACAACCGAATGAGAAAGCGAGTCCCACAATTGAACTATACGATCGAATCCTGCCGTAAGGAATTGTGCGACTGTGGGATGAGGACATAAAGCCCAAAGCTCGTCGGTGTGTCCAAGAACTGCCGGGCTAAAGCCCATTTTCAATGACCCAATAAGAATACAGTTTCTCGTAGATCCAACGAGCAATTGCGATCCTCTGCCTTCGGATACAGTACGAATACCGCCTAAATGTTCAGCAATCTAAAATTGAACAAAGTCACATTTGAAAATATCTATTACACACATTTGACTCAAAGTTCATACTGTAATATGAAATTTTCTAAAACTAGAAAATTTGATGTTATAAAAAAATATATTTACATAAATTTCTAAAATTAAATGTAAAATTTGATTATTTAATATTAATAAAAATTAATCTGATTTGATAAATTATAACTTGTTTACAAAAAGTCCCCAATAAAATTCACATTTTAGACTCCAACTAAACCTGACAATAATATTACAAATTTTGCCTGAAACTTGATTTGAATCGCTGGTAATATTATTATAAAAATATCATTTACTTGTACGTTATATCCAGTTGGATGCATAGCCGTGTCAAATTGAATCAATTTGCCATCTTTGCCTCCGCCAGTTATGATACTGCCTTCTTTTAGGGCACAAATCGTGAATACTGACCCTTCGTGTGCGTTACGTACGATTTTAGTTAAGTTGTGTGTACCTAAAATTGAAAAATAATTATTAAATAACAATAACAGGTATAAATAGTTAGCATTTTAAAATAGCGAGAAATTAAAAACTAAAAGTACTGACCACGTCCCCAAACAATAACCGATCCATTTGAATCTCCGGACAAAACATCACCGTTTTGAGTAAACGCCAGACAGGTCACGTATTTCGGTCGGTCGCGAGTCGTTTCGAATACTCCGTTGCGTTTGTACAAGGTACCGCCAGCGTCCAAGGTCCAAAAGCTGATATGACCCTTACCGCACGTGACAATTTGGTTGCGGTCGAGTGGATGGAATTCAGCAGCAACCACAGTGTCCGTAGAGCACTAAAAAGGTATTGGTTTTTTTTTTTAAATAAAAATTGTTTTTAATTATTATTGTAATTATTTACGTTTGTTAAAGTTATACAAACCTTTGTCTCGGTGATTTTGTGTCCTTTATCAGTTTTCTGCCAATCCCACACGGAAATGTTGTGATCGTTTCCTTCATCAATAGCGCATAACATACTTCCGCCGTCCTGTAAAAGTGTACAATATTAATATAAAATATAAACATAATGAGATAACCATTCATGTTTAAACGACGGCCACCAACTTACCGCTTTGGAAAACGACAAACAGCTTATAGAGCGTTCAAAGTCTCCTAGTCCCAAAACAACGACCGTGGCTAAGCTGACCGAATTCCATACTCTGATGTGAGGCTAAAGTACAGAAATAAAAGTTAGAAAAATAACATATAGTACATTTTAAATCATGATGAAGTTTTATTACTTTGCCTTCGCGGTGATCGTGTCCTGCCGTCTGCCCGGTGGCCACCAGCAACTTGTTAGGGTGAATGGCCAAACTGAAAAAAAGAAATTTTTATAATCAATTTCATTTTATTTAGTCAGTTTTGTTTTATTATAAACAAGTACCACTTAATGTCGTCGGTGTGGCCCAAGTAGTGTCTTTGGCTTTGCTCCTCGACGTTGTACAGCACAGCGACAGCGGCCACAAAGTAAACCATTTCACCGGTCGGCAACAAGTACAAGTTGGAGCGGCAGTCTTTTCCTCTGTACCCATAACTGTTCATCAATTAGTTTAAGGAATGTATACAAAAATGCACGATAATGGTATAGCTAAGTTATACTGAATGACTAACCAAACACTATTTTTTATATTTCATTTTGAACAATTTAAAATACAAACGGAAATATAATTCGGTTATTGAAGAGAAAAACAGCGATAGAAACAATGTTGGACACACATTCTGATTAGAAAGTTGACGGTTAAGTTTTAATACTGTTTTATACATTGAAGTTAATTAGGCAGTTCTTTTTTTCTACTTTTATACTTAACAATATTTCAATTTATTTGGGCAAGGATAACATTTTTTAGATACAAACTAACCTAACCTATAATCGAGGTAACCTATGTAACCACAGTTCATATTCATTGTCAAACTTCATGTCATATTCATTAATAATTAGAAATTACTACTTTTCAATCTATTTAAATTTCACTTGAACGATAAACAAAATTTCGAGCATTATATAATATTGTAATATTTTAAATTCAACAATAATTGATATTGCTTTGCTAGAGCTGTAATACGGTATAATTACTGAGCACTATTATCGTCATCATCATCATCATCATCATCACAATCATTATGAACCACCGGTCTAATTATTATTGTTGGAAACACAAACATTACCTGTAATAACGGCTGTTACGAGGATAATAATTATTAAAAACCCGTTAAATTAACGCGCTCTGGTTATTCATATTTGATATTTAAAAAAAACATACCGACGTAGGTGCACACATTAATTGGGGGTTTTAAGTACCTAACTAACTACTACTTGGGTGTATTCCAAAGCGTAAAACTTTTCTATAGGACAAAAAAAAATTTATTTAAAGCCCGATTTAAGGTTGGAAAATTGTAAACAAATTGTACAAAAACAAAAGGATACACCCAATCCAGCTTGAGCCTAGACGAAGGAGCCGTGGCCACTTTGGTGATGTCGTAAGTGGCTATTTCGTTGGTGGGCGCGTACAGGTTGACCGGTCTTCCCCTGAGGAACATCCGGACGCTGCCTTCCTCTTCGTTGTAGGTCGCATCCCGTGTGCTAATAAAGATGGAAATAAAAATCCGATTAGAACACGACACATAATATTACTTTACTATTATTATTAATAAAAAAAAAAATATATTTTTTTTTAAAAAAAACGTTAAAAAATCAAAACGAAAATATAACTGCCGAACCTCTTGCCGTTCGAACTGCCGTGTAGCGGCATTTTTTAAATTGAAACGATCGAATAATAATACTATTTGTTTACTATGTGCGGATTAACGTTTGATAAAAAAATTCCAACGGACAGTGCAAAGAGATACACTGACGGACACTGCCGGCTAACGACTGAAATCGGGTTTCGCGCAAGCACAGCGCACTGACCGTGTGCGATAACATATTGTAATACTATATAGGATGTGTTAAAGAGACTATAGTATAGTGTCTACAGCTAAAGAGAGTGGCCCAAGGTTATCAAAAATCACAATAACATGTTTTTTGAATATTATACCGCACAGCACCACCACCTCTGCCGCCCGCTACTTCTACAATCTTCATAATAATAATTATAAGTAATTATATAAATGTTCGAGTAAAAAAAACACTATAAATCCACCGTTCAATTTAGAGTTACTACTACTGTGTTTGACAGTCCAGGTCGGATTTATCCAGTAAAACGACGAAACAAAAGAAACTTCCGACAAAATGGACACTTATTGCCAAACTTGACTATATTCGTCCACACAATTACACGTCTTTACGACGCCATAAAAAAATAATTAAATATTCCTTCGTTATAAACAAGTATGTAATAATTGTAGAATATTTTATATTGATCTTGTACCAAGAGGTTAACCTATCCTAATAAGAACAAACAAAATATAGCAACAAAACCGTTGGCAATGTAGTCGTGGCCATCAAAATATAATCTCCGAAAGACTTCCTAGTTTTTTAACAACACGATTTTTGTCGAGAAAAAAATAATACAGAAAACTTTAAATTCGGACAGGTTTAGTTTGTATTGAATCTCGGGGCGTTATCTAAAAAGTATTAACAAAATTATACCTACACCAATCACTAGAATTACAAAAGAAGTAAGAACCCTGTTCAAATAGAAAGCAATTATTATTACAATCACTATACAAAAATTTGTTTGAAAAAAATTGAAAATAAGATAATTAGTACTATTCTAACCACCGTTGTAACAATAAACAGACATTGATCTTATTATGTGCACTGCGAAATTGTATCAAATAGGTACATTATCGAATAATCTAATTTTATTGAAAACCTTTTTAAAAATGTTTTTTTATTAATTGAACTTTTATTACTCTAGATATTATTGAACATATATTAAATTATCTATTCGCGTGTATAGACTATTATAATATACATATTTTATTTTCAAGGATTTTTTGAATTTATACACAAATAACAAACGAACTCGGGAAAAGTATAATAATTCGGACAAAATATTTTTATTTTTTTTGTGGCACTGAACTGACCCAAACATTAGTAGTTTGTGACGTCCACTAAATATTAAATTGGAAGCTTATGTTAACAAAAATCAATAATATCCATTATCCCACAAGCGGTAAAAACTATATTACACATAAAATCACCGAATAAGGTATATTGTGTGAAAAATTCATAGTAAAAATGTACTATATGTCAAAACGCAATGTACAACATAAAAATTCACATTACAAAATATCAAAAAAGAATTATAACTTTTTATTTTGTAGTATTTCAAAACTAAAGGTAGGTACTTTAAAGAGATTTCTTTAAAATGTTTAACTAGTCGATGAAAAATGTTGAAAAAGTGCTTTCGGGAGTTTTTAGCGTTTAAATATGCAAGAAAGAATATAAAGTAAGGCGAAGTGGCTAAGTACAAATATTTCAATGCACCACAGACTATACTTTTAAGCATAAAATACAATTCCAAAGGTATCTGTTCAAACATTTTCAAGAAAAACTACTTTTTCAAAATGGTTTTCCAACAAATAAAATATATTAAGCCTATAAACTAATGAACTGTTTAGAAAGAAAAACTAAATTGAAAAATCTCAATATCCCTATGACATAATAATATAACGAGTGTATTTTTGTGTGACACCCTGTATATCTACAAAAGATAATCATAGTAATAATCCTATGGCGCCTCTATGATGACCTAAGTGTCTACATACTTTTTAGTTCGCCTTTACCGGGACCACATTATTTTTAAAATATAAACTATTCCCATTGGGTTTGAAAAATGTTTAAGACCTTATTACTTTTTGAATAATGACCGCCAAATTACACGACAAGGCCAAAACGTATACCGTAAACCGATCAAACCATATATTGTGGCAAGTTATTTATTTATTGGATACATTAAAAAAAAAAAATAGGTAATTACATCTAATGGACAAAAACAAAAAAAGTACTATCTAAGTATTGGTAATAAAATCGAAAATCAATATTAACATTTAATACTAATTAATATAAATTCTCTACTGATCATACATTAAACAAGCATACCTAGTGCCTATATACATTGTACACGCTAACACGCAACACCAAAATTAGTTTCAGGGCGCTCCTCAATATAATAATTTATTTTTTAATTCCACGGGTGATGTATTTTTTTTTTTGCATACACATCATCGTCCATCACGTTAACCACAAGTATTAATCTAGCTAATTGCCAAGTACAATAATTTGTAAGTTTACAAACTATTTGCCTACGATTAATGGTATCAGATGTTTCGAATCGTCCCAAAACGTCCCGTATAAATGTGTATGTTTCTCGGACTTTAACGAACCGTTTCCGTGTTAAACGAATATTAATGAAGCCCCGTTATAGAAAATATAAATTAAATATAGGTCGCGTTCTTGAACATTCGAAAAGGTGTAATAGTTTGTACCTAAGCAGACTTAACGATATTCTTTTGGGTAGATTTTAATTGCACGAGATACAAGAGATACTATAGCACTACAGTATACAAAAATAAAAATCCGGTAGATTTTATTACTAAAACCGTTGTTCGTCAACCTGGGGGGTTGTAACCATTAAACAATTTGTCAAATAGTAATACAACTTCGGTAGATAAAGATTCTAGTAAAAAGTAGGCATGTATATGTTTAAATGTATACAAATTCAATAAAATAATATAATAATTTTGTAGGTAATAAATAATGATTTTAATGTTTGAACTGTTTAATTCGCAAGCATTTTTAGTCAATAAAAGCATAATAATAAAATCCACATGACCCAAAACACGTTGACACTAAAAAAATACCTATACTTAAAATATTAGTTAAAGCGAAACTAAACACAACATAAGCGAATGCGAAATACTGTATTCAATACCATTTATAAATTTCATTTGATACAAACAAAAACGGCTATCACGTTAAATCTAAAAAAAAACAAAACTATAGCTCAAAAAAATAATATTTTTTATATGCATTTTTACACCACACTGTCTGGACGATACAAATCTGTATTGTAAAAATACTACATGATAATATTACTGTACATTAAACCGCCGTATATTGTTTGGCGAGCAAAACGCTAATATTTAGTATTGAAACATTAAAGCTGACACGACAGTGTTCAAGTGCAGTGGTAACTTTTAAAAATGCATCAAAGCTCACATCATATTGTGTATGGTGTGTGTGTACATTTCCACGTTCAGAACACTATATATTAGCGAACCGAGCTCAGTCAAATAAATTAAAAACAAAACAAAGTAAATATCATAAACTAAATAAATAGTTTACCTTGTCATCGTGTGTAAGTGATTTGGCGAAAACAGGTTTGTTCGGAAAATTTGAATAAAATCAATGGAAATAAAACAAAAAGAGCTTTTCCAATACTACTGCGAGCGAGAAACGTGCTTTACTGTCACACGTTGAACGTGCACTGCCGCTTATAAACAACAAAAAGTCTAATGATGTCATCGCCGGTTCAAACGGCCGTCGAACATTGTATATTTATATATATACACATTTTTTTTATTAGTCTATAGACAGTCTGTGGTGGCGTCCATGTGTCCTTGCTTGCATGCGGTTTTTTCTCTCCAATCACTACAAGAATGCGCATCTCCCACAAGTCTGTATGTATATAATATATATTTATTGTCATATCATCAACGTCTCTCTGTCTCTCTCTTTTCCCCTCAACCCTCCCCTTCTTTTCAAAACACACACACTCTCCCCGTTTGGGCTGCTCTGCGGTACACGACACCACGCCCTTAAACGTCGATGTGACTTCCAAGGTCAATAATAATAATAATAGGAGACTCGTCGACAATTTAATTACACTACACCGGTGTCCTATCCACAGGACATAAACCTATTATACAAATTACACATACGCATATCGAGCACGAGGGAAACGTGCAAACAACCTCAAATTGATTTGCATACACAAATTAGGTTTAAAAAAAAAAACAATACTCGATATGGATCATTGAATATAAACGGCGTAAGCCTGTTGAGCTAACGGAGGAAGTAGACAATTACAGGAAGTTTCCACTACACGAATCATTTAACAAAATATCCAACTTAAGTCAGGTTAACTTCAAAATACCACCGTTTGATTTTGAATTTCTGCCATGAGTCTCTTTTGAATTAATTTTTTATTATAGAACTCTTTAAAAAAAAAAAAAAATTATACACAATTTACTGAGTAGTAAGCTGTGTCCAAGTCCACTTTATAATAATATTTAATTAAAGTTGTTTATAAATTGTGACACTAAGAAATCATGTAGTCATTTCAATAATTATCGTTTTCGTTCAATTTTATAAAAATTAAAATGCATTTTATATAAAGTTTCATAATGCTTTTCCTCTTTCTGCTCAACAGTATGCCACAGAAATAGGGTAGGTCATTCACATCACAGTCATTTCTAAAATTTCTTTGTTCAATACACACATCAAACCTAATATTCAACACTATTTGGTTAATACGATAAAGGAAGTCGAGTTTTTTCAATCCCACAGTTAAAGTATTCATAGAGTTCATTAAAAACCGATTTCTATTAGCAGCTAACAAGAAATAATAATTTAAGTTATTTGTAGAATACACCAATAAATACCACATACAGAATTTAGAAAAATATTATCAATTTTTTTTTTTGTAACCATAAAAAGTTATCGATTTTGGTCTTCAAAAGTTGATCGTGAAAATTCCCACAAACGAAATAAAAACCGCATTTGAAATTCACATTGACGTTGTGATTGAGATTAATTTTGTGGCAAGTATATTATGTACATGACCATTGACCACTGATAATACTTGTTGTTGTTGTTAATGTATTTATCTAACATAAAAACAAGGAGACCTTATTTTGATTAACTATGTGGTAATGTGAATCGATTTGGCAAAATTTTAAATTAACACCAAAAGGCTAAAAATACTATGTTGGCTTATTAAAAAATCAATATGCAGTTATTACATCTCGATCGATGTAAATGAATAATTGGTTACATAAATTTATTTAATTTTTTATTAAGTAAGATTTCATAATTACATTATTGCATTAATCACATTTCGTGTAGGAAAAACAAAATAATTGAAGCTGACAATAATTCTACTTCAATAAACAAATTTAAATAATTTTTTTCATAAAATGGTTTTATTTTTAAATCACCAATTTAAACCAATTTATATTCAATGGGTCATTTGATTGCTGCACAATTGTATTCGTTTTATTAGAGGAAAAAGAAAATCAATGTTAGACAAAATAACTTCCAAAAGAAATAATTTAAATTGGCGAAAAATAAATAGGACAAAACACTTACATATTTATATATTTTTGTAAAGAACATATTAGAAATCCATCTGGATGGACAACCTAGATATATTTTCATTCTAAACTCAGCACCTAACCTAACCCTCATTCTATTGAATAAGTAATGCTATTTTTCATAACTTACACTTTGCCCTTAACTAGCCGAATAAGTATACAAATGTAACACACACAAGTCTAAAAATTTAATTCAGAAAACAATTTTCTCGTTAAATCCAATTTTCTTTTTTGATATATATATATTTTTTTTATAGTAATTAAGTAATATATAATAGCCGATATAGTATAAATTGTACTTACCCGTGTTTTTGGTGATGATTGTGATGGTTTTGCTGAGGCTGCGACCGCAAATTCAAATTAAGCAACGACTTTGTACCAAGTCTACAACGTGTTAAAATTGCACACAACAAAAATTATAATTAATACTACGATAAAACAACTTAAGTACACGATAGTGTGGTATTTTGAGGGTAGAAAGAGCAAATTTTTAAAACCGAATTCAGTTTAAAGCGGCTCAAGTTATCCAAAATATTACCTGTATAATATTATACAACGTATCGTTACATAATGGCTGCTAAATTAAAAATTATTCTTAATAAGAATTTTGAAAAAAAAAAAAAGTATAATCCATACGAAGTCAAGATGGTATTTTAACGACTTTGTGATTGCTAAAAACTTTGAATTTTAAACAAAACTCTATTAGTGTAAATTATCATAAATTACTACTGTGTTATTTAAAATGTTTACAAAATTATTATCTTAAGTGTTGGAATTGATTGTTATCAACATATACAATTTATGTCTGCCTAGAATATATTTAAATTTAAAAGTTTCAAAAAGTAACGATTCGACAACTACAACGAACAATTGAATAAGAAAAAGATAATACAAGACTTATGTGCACTATTCAGTTTATACAAACATATTTCTAATAAAAAATTTAATAAAGTTGTTACAATATAGATTTGTCATCAATAATTTGATACTTTGAAACAATGAAGAAAATACTTTTGCAAAGTGACATGTGTTTTATGAACGAAGTCCAAGAAACATTACTTTGTAGAGCATTATACTTTATGAATCTAATAGAAATATATTATATTAACTATTTGATAAATAGAAATGAACAAACTGATAATACTAACAGAAAACGGAAATCTTGTATTAATTTTCATTTTAGAACTCTCTGTCAATTGCATTCATATGAAAAATATATATGATAATAATAGGAAATTTAAGTATAAATACTAAGAATAAATTTACCATAAATATTAACCTGTTGTTAAAGCGATTTAACTTGGGAAATTTCCGTTTCAAGTTTCGCATGAAATTTATTTTAAAAACTTAATTTTCAATACAAATGTAATTAAAAGCAATTATGTTTCTGTCGATTTTTGGGACCATTTAAAATTTGATTAAAACCCAGTTAAAATGGAAACACCCTAAGCATGAACGTGTGGTGACAATCACAAAAACACAAAAACCAAAAGCAGGCAAGTAAAAAAAAAAAAAACAACAAGGTGTACACGCCCTCGGTTAATTCACCTGGAAGCTAAAGTCGACGAATGGGGTGCGACACTGAAATTTTGTGCCTGATTAAAATCACCGGTGGAGCTCCACCTTTTAGAGTTGTGTAAATTGGAAGCACTGGTTCTCTGAGGTTTTTGTGCCGTTCCTGGCCTGGTGGGCGAGGGCGAAGGCGACGCCGGAGGCACTGGCGACACGCTACTGGAACTGGGCGAATCCGAATGCAAGGAACCGGTCGACTGATAATGCACGGCTTTTCTGTTAAAACATAAACACGAATTAGAGTACACGGAAACATACATACTCTGAATTGGTATCAAATTGTAAAACGCTACCTTTGAGGTAAAGAAGAGTGTGTGTTGTTGTTGTGACTCGGCACCCTTCGGACCGGATCTCTAAGGGCAGATCCCGGGTGTTCGTTGGCAGATCTGTACCGGAGGGTCACTTCTTTTTGTGACAACGTAGGTGAAATCAAGTGGTGACCGTTGGCGCCGTAGTGATTTCCTGAAATTGTAAAATTGTCTTTAGTCAACTAACTTAGTCAAATTTGAACCCAAAACCCAAGACATTATTAAAGCTCCAAAAATTAAAGGACTGATTTACTAAAAAGTTGGGCTTTAATTACTGCAGTAAAAAAAATATGAATTGTAACGATTATGAGAGTTTTGTTTGAATAATTTAAACAATCACTCCTACGATACGGTTGAACGAGTGTATATTTAGATGCCTATACAGCCCCTTAATTTGCACCTACCAAAACTTTTAACCAATATATTCATACAATATCAACTGTTATTATTATTTTTTTTACCTCAAAATAAAATACGGAATTATTAATCCGTTTTAGTCTTTTAATATACGTTCAACATCTATTTTGTTAGGAATTAAAATACACAAATAATTAAGAGGACGTTATTAACGCCATTTTTTAAGAGTTTCAAAAAGAAATTGTGCAAGGGCATATGTCTTCCTCGAGTATAAAACATCAACTTAAAAGGGTAAAGATGCTTTTTATATATAAAAAAAAGTTTGACATTAAAAGCAATCGGCCGTTAAAAATATACACTCTAAAAGAAGTACACGAAATTCTCATTAGGAAAGAAGACCGATGAATATAAATACTTAAGGCCATAAAACCTTTTTTTTTTCCGCTTTGAATATTCACCGAGTTATATGTATATAATGGATCTAAGTATCCAACCCGAACTTTGTTGGCCGTCGAGACTAATTTCCAAACGGTTGGAAAGCGCAAAGAATCTAAAGAGTGTACACATCTTTAATCAACGTCGACAGCGCGGGGCACACATCGAAAACTCTACTTAGCCGGTTTCCTATTCAAAATTAAAAATAAAAGAATTTGTACTCCGAGCAGCAGACTTTTGTCGGCAACAAGAACTGACATAATAATAATATGCTCGACTTTCCCTTTGCTCACAACATGATAATATTGTAGTGGCAACAATAGAATTTTTGGAGCTTTCTCTGGCAAATAAACGGACAAGAAACACAATCAGTCGCATTGTTAACTGCAAACAGACGGCGAAGACGTACCCGCCCTGGGCGTGTTTCCATTTTTCAGGGCTGATGTGTTCAAGCTAAGTGTACGGCTTCCTTCCAGCTGGTTCAACCGCCTGAGAACGTCGGCCAATGTCGACCGGAGGCACACGATCTCATCTCCTTGTTCCAGTACTTTCTTTTCCAAATCGCACACCCGTTCTCTGAGGGATTCGTTTTCCGTTTCAATCATGTCATCTGAAAAAGAAAAAAATGAGAAGATTATCTAGTTAGCCGACTTTATAAACGCCGAATGAGCACAATATCATATTTTCTTACAAGGCACAATTTTTGTTGCCGTATGATAAGAAGATTTGATAAAAAAAAACATTTTTAATGCACGAGTTTCACCTGTGACCCGCCACATTTGTTTTTTAGTTTAGCCAAAATTAAATACCTATTATAATACTTTGAATTTTCAATACTCCATAAAATTTAAATAAATATATATACAAAACCCACCCCTCGCGTTACACGGACCCTTCCAATTTGCCATCTTGCCTTTAAGGGGAACGGAAAGCGGCAAATTGTATACAAGTAAAGACTAAAACAAGAAGTCACTTTCTGAAGTGTCTACCGAATCCTATGTACCTATTAAAACCCTGTCTGTCTTCTCTATAGGGGCTCAAAGGCAGATTTATTATTTATGTTTTCAAATTTTTATTATAATCGTTTAAAATTATACTTTTTTATGGTATTTTCTAATAAATCTATTTTAATAGCTAAATACAAAACCCAGTCTTTTAGCCCCCATAGAGAAAATAGTAAGCTTTACATTAAAAAAAAATTAAAATTTAATTCCGACCAATTTATACGCCGTAAAATTACTTCTACGAAAGTCATTTTTTATCAAACTTTCACCATAACTCGGAGAAAAATAACTTTAAAAACATTTCAACTAGAAAAACCTAATTTTTTTCTCCTTAAAATTAATCGGCATCTTAAAATAGTTACTAGATAAATTTTGCCAAATATTGCCTATCCTTTGCCCCTTAATAGTTAAGCGTTTTCCGTCCCCCCTAAACAAAATATATCATTTAATCAATTACATTTGTTTCTTTTTACAAGTATTGATCGTTTATTAAAATTGTGAATTTAAGTATATTTTTTCTTTACAACCAATAGTACAGCTAATTTGACTTGGAACAAGAACCAATACAAAACCATTTCTGAACCTGAATCGTTATTACTATCGAAACAGTTATTAAATGTTTTAAATCGCTACAAAGATAACTTTAATACATTCATATTAAATATATTGATGTATTTAATATGCATATATGTGTAATATACATAAAACGTGTTACTGATATTTTTATCATCATAAAGTATCTATGTATTCACAATTATTATAGTTTAATAAAAATCTATTATTATAACATTATTTACAGATATTAAGCTTCAGCTTTTTTTTTAAATAGGCATTTAAAAAATATATAGGTCGTTATCCTAAACTAAGACTAGAGTAATTTTCTTGTGATAATATTATCAATTGTTTTATTAATATTAAAATAACTATTTAGCATACAAAGTATTCAATAGGTTTGGCCAAATTCCGGGATATCACAAAATCCAGACTTTATCAACATCCTCTACCTATTGGAGTTTAGATGGATTAGTATAATGGGGCAGCGTGAGTTTACAGCTGCTATGTATTATTTTGATAGTATAACGCGTTATGTCTAAACAACAAAACCGATTAAAACACATTTCATACAATATTCTAAATACCCGAGGCTTAAGAAAGAGTAGTCGAGTAATATTTATTATTAAGTATTGAGTATGAAGTGTAGGTAGTATTATAACAAAATAGTGTGCTAAATGAATGGTTTATAATAACGTATATAGTTCTTCAACGTGCAAAAAAAAATAAAAATTATACTAATTTATCTTTTCCTTGAGGTTTTTTTTTTAATTTCTAAAGTATAATAGAGTTATTATGATTTTGTCGAACATTCGATTAAATCAAAATATGCATATTTTCATAAATAACGTTACGCACAATAGCGTTTAATCAACAAAATACGCCGGTAGCCAAGTCGGTTTCTAATAACTATCGGTGTGGGCTTGGTTAATTTTTATTTTTTAATTATAATGTCCACCACTAACGTCAAATATATCTAAGTGTCTGTTTTAGCTGCAAGTAAGCCCGACGTGGGCGAAATATCAATAATTTTATGACGCCCGCGCCTGTAACGCTTATATTTTATCTATACATATATATACCGACTTCTACACGATCAAAAGCAAATACTTTATAGGTTTATTTTCTTTCACTGGTAGTGTTTACCATACGTCATGCGATTAATATCCATCAGTTGCTACTGGGCGGACTTAAAAATATAAAATTAAGTATAGGTAAATACATGTTATATTGTACACTCACTCCATGCCAATTGCACCTTAGCCGTTACGGTCTGCATGGCGTTGTCTTGTCGCTTACCGGCGGTTATGGTTTTTTGAATTTTTTTAAAAATCCATGCCCGTCGACGATCAATCACCGCAATATCAAAGTAATCGAATACAGATATTGTATAAACGCAATACACCACAACAGCTGTGCCCGTCCGTCTGTTATTAACACACAAACCGCACTCACGATAATTATTTGGCACGCGACCAGCCCAAAGGGGTCGCGTGTACCTGTCACATATTTTTCGGTAAGTAAAAATACGACTAATTAAAAGAAAAAAACTCAAAGTAAAAACACAACTACAATATTATCTACTAGGTACAAAAAAAACACCATCACTCGACAGGTACGGCGTTACTGCCCGACTGGCGCAGCGCACGGCATTAACACTTAAACCATTTTTTTTTTTTGAACACGAAATCGGCAACAGACGTGGAAAAAGGAAATTAAATTTGATGATTTCCAACATACACACACACACAATGTACGCGATAAAGCGGTTTTTTTGTTCCGTCCACATCCGAGGTCTCTGCGACGAAAGGTCAAAAACAATTATTGTACACCGGCGAACCGGCCAGAACTCGGAATAATAATGTAATAATAAAGCCACAGCGTGTATCGACCGATGCCCGATCAAACGCCGTATGGTCGGGATAAGACAATGAATAATATGTTTGAAATAAAAAAAAAATAATAGAGAATTTTTCACCGCCAAGAGTCGGAGATGAACGCTCTCTTGTGTGTTACACAATTGTTGCGCCAACAGCTGTTACTGCAGTGGTTTTTTTTTTAATTTGCATTTCATCGAAATTATCCAAATGGAATTCCGATCGCATCGAAAATCCCATTGAAAACCAAATTAATTACGACCTAAATTAATTTTGCTAGCGCAAAAATATAATCCATCATTTTAACCGTACATAATAACTATGTAATGACTCTATTGGGGTTTTTACTCTCCGTTGAATTATAATATGTAATCAGGTGTTTGTGAACGAATGAGGTAAACGTGGACGTGAAAGAGTGATTATTTTATCGACACTTTTGATCATGTGTTGCAAAAAAAAAATTGGTTAAATAATAAAAAAAACAGAAAGAGCCATTGCTCAAAACCAACGCAACCTATTTGATTACAACTATACGCTAAGTGTAGCTTTTTGTTGGATTTTTCTAAATATAAAGATGCACTTCCTCTTCGAGTGAAGCCAAAACAAAAATGGAATGCTTTGACACACAGTATTATGCAGACACGCCATTGCTTGTTATTTATTACTTGGATTGCCAACACGGGCCATTAATTTTCAAACGTAACGATCGTCTATGTATTATATAGGTGTGTTCTCATCACTAATTACCTTACGTAGGCTATTGTGTTTTAATAGCACACTTAAAGGATATCAGATTTTCAAAGACATAACCACGCCATTGTGTACATATTTTCATACTCAATTCATTACGATTATGTGTAGAAAAAAAAACAGTTAAAAGATAACTAAGACGGTTGTAAAAAATCGGTAAATAATTAATTGATGGGCATTTGAAAATATCTATTAAATTTTATACATGATTTATATACCTTTTAAATATTGTTGAAACATTGTTTCAACATTGTTTTAATCTATTATACTAATGTTTAAAACAATTTTAACAGTGTAATTATTTTCTATATTAATATTAACTTGAACGGTACTTCATACGTCATGTGATACTGTCATACAGATAATAGTATGAAAAAACTATGTAAAATTACTACATAGATTACTATCTGTCATACATCGTAATTAATTATCATATTAATGACCGACTTATTAAGAAAATTGCATTAGGTATGAACTATAGTGTTGATTCCAAGTTCTTATGCAGTAACTGTATGATAATATTGATTTTATAATGGTAGGTACAGGGAAACTTAAATAGGCCAACTTCTTAAATGGGGTCGACACTGTAGGTTTAATAATTAATACTACTTACAATTTGAGTAAATTTCAAGACATTTAAATACTAGTTATACACGATTTTAATTTTGACTAACGACCTCTAATAAATAATAATTATTGAAACTAGTTCAATTATCTATACAGAAGAAGTGTAACAACTTCAAACCACTTGTTTTTATTATTTATCTGAATACGGATTGCAATGAATTTTTTCCCAACAACGAGATAACAATTATTAAAGTACATATAATATAATGTAGTTCATTAGCTATTGTTTCTACGAAAGACATATTAGAATGTCCAAAAAGTAAAACCGTATCTATCATTCGAAATGTATTATAATTTATAATCATGGAGTGCATTTGAATTTAATCGTTCTTATTGACATCAGTTACAGCAATACCTACACATTACGTTTAGTATACTAATTAATAGCATGCTTTCTAACCGTAATTCAAAGTATTACATTTAAGATATTAAACTGGAAATAACGACATTTAATATAATTAATACCGTGTAACATAACCGCATCGCGTGTTCGATAAAACTTTAATGTTATGATAATGTCTACTACAGGTAAACACACGGATTATATTATGAATAATATTAGACGACTATATTACCTCCTCCGTCATAACAGGAAATACACTTTACCAAGACGGTGGCGAGTGCTAAATTTGGATATCACCAAATGCATCTTTACTGGACGCGAGGTTGACGACCCAAGGTATCTACATGGAACGTAAATAAATAGTGTCTCCAGCCAATTCCCAGAAAGATGCAGCCCACACGCCAAATCAATAGACAAAATGAACAGCTAGCACTTGACATTATTTTAAAGGTAACCC